CCCTTACCCCGCACACAGCTGAAAGTACCCTTTACACTCCTCTCTTTCTCTCTGCACCAGTAAATGTTTTGTCCTTCCGTTCGTCGTGCATTGCACATCCGTTTTTGGTGGCTTTGTGGCTGCCTCCCAACCTAACACACGGTGGTGCAGCGTATGTATTTGCATATGAGAGTTTTGTGCGACCGCCGACGACACGCACATGGCAACTGTAATTTCTCTTCTTTTTTTCCTTTCTTTCGTTCCTTCAGCCGTGCTACATTGTGTTAGCATTGCTGCCAATTGGCACAGGATTTCAAGGCATAAAGTCTGTGAAAAACAACAGTAAGAAGAAACTTTTTCTATAATAAAATAAAAATAGCTCAAAGCAAAGGCTGGAGTAGGAAATTTAATGAATTGAATTTGGTGTCATGGTCCTTGTGCCAACAACTCGCACTCGCTGTGGTTGTTTTCAGAGTGCCGACTGCCATTCGGGGTCTCACTTAATGTTGTTGATATTGTTTAATGCTTTTAGTTGACTTTTTTGCTGCTTTTACTCATTTTACCACCTTAGCAGTTGAATGCTCTAATTTTTATGTGAGGGTAGGTTCGATTTCAATGCTCTCATAGTGGAACCAAATGTATCGCAGTTGTGTTTTCACTTGTTTTCGTAGACGTGTTATTAGGAACTTGTTTTGGTTCAGAGTGCGCGTCTGCACCCTTTTTCACTCATATTATGACTCACGCTTATGTTTTTCCCCTCAATAAGTTTTTTTTTTGCTAATAAAAAAAATAAAATTTGGGTATTTTTATTAACTTAACAAAACTAGTTTTTTTGATATACAAAAAATAACCAAAATTTTAAAACCTTCAAGGTCATTCTAAGGCACAACATTTTTTTGCTCTTTTTAAGACGATATACAAAGACTTACACTGTGGTTTTGAGACCACGATATTAAATGTTTTCCAATTTTTAATATATATTTATATATATAAATGGCACTCCTCCTCTCCAATTTGTGGTATGCGTCTTCCAACAAATGGAGGGACAATATATCAGTATTCTAAGCCGCCTCCAAAAGGTCGATGTATTTTTATGAGGAGCTTTGATTTTCCAGTCAGACATACACCCGTAGAGCTTGACATTCTCTGGCGAGGAGCGACCAGAAAAAAATTCGTTTTCTGCAATTTTGGGTGTTGATCGAAACTGGACGCAAACTCTAGTCTTCCGAATGACAGTACGTAATATTAACCCCTCGGCTATCGCGGCCGCCAATATTTAATACTCTTAATTTCCATTATCCATGTTACCTGTTTAGCTTTAGAAAATGAGAATTCCTACACCACAAAGTAGGTAGTAGAGGCACAGTGTAAGGTTCGAACGAATTCTTAGCCAGTAAGGGACAAAACTAGTCAACAAAAGGCTCCCATTTATTATTTAACACAAAGTCAAATTAAAATTCGAGCGAAAAATTGTAGTGCCATCTACAGTTCACTTTTTGAACTACGAGCGGTTTACGAAATAGTTAACTTGACACTTAAAAAAAAATCGGGAAACAAATTACGTACGAAATTCGTGCGAATTAACTCGTCTTCTAGTCAGTTTGTAGATGGGTGGTCCCTTTGTTGCTACGAATAGACTCCGTTTGACTATTTTTATATGGAGTTGTCAGATAAAAGTGCTATGACAACCTTCCAGAGGATTTATGACAAAACTGAAGGTGCCACAAACGAAAATTCAGCCATTGCCGCGACAGCCATATGAATGAAACGGTCTTCTGTCACTAACCGAAAGGTTAAAGCATTTCAATTTCATTAAACATTTCAATGAATAATATTTAGATCACGGACTTTAGCCAACACCCCAATTGATAAATAAAATCTAGTAACCTATTCGCGTATATAAGTGGCAGTCATTTATCTCGTGTTGACCTCCATACTAAGTGAGAGCTTCTCTGAGTCGACACCTCTATCTTTCAGCACCTGTGTGTGTTTTTGGTACAACCATTTTCCAAGCGATTACTAATATTATGTTTTTGACTATTGGAAATATGCAATAGTTTAAAACATATCATAACCCCCTTTTACTTTCACTAAATCAACATATCTAATTTCAGTATTCATTCGATCATCTCGTCGCAGTCGAAAGAAAAAACACCAGATAAAGAAATTAACTGTGGCAAAAATTGGAAACTTTCGGCTAGGAAATAGGAAAATGGTTATGTGAAAACAAAAATATTCGGGCAGAGAATTTCAACTAAATTTTTGCAAATTAAAATGAAAAATATTGGTGGAACGTGTTAAAACACTTTTGGCACAAAATGGTTTCATTGTGATACCCCATTAAACTTTATTTTGACCCTAAGACTAATATTCCATATACTTGAACACCCTTATAAATTTTATTATTTTTCTATTCTCTTAAGCGAGGAGCCGACAGCGACATTCTGCTATAGAATCGGAGCAGAATGTCACGGATTACGTTTAGAATTTCATTTGGAGTGGTTCCAAGTGCATAGAGCATTGACCTTACCATGGATACGAAACTGCAGAATCTGGTATTTAGGCCCAGCGAAAAAAGGCGTTGAAGTATGAGTTACATTGTCCAAAAGCATAGCTTTTATACCCAGTCTAAGGCGCGCTTCATTTAGTACTCGAGTTTCTAATTCATAGATGTAACCTAGCCTGAAAAAGTTCTAAGTTGCTACGAAGTTCTTTTTTCGCACACAAATGAAATCACATAAGAAATGCACGGTATTTTTTACTTGTCAAAAAGATAATAGATCTGAGCTGCGTATGGCTGCATGAAAAAATATCCCAACAGTAAAGAACCAAATATAAATAACGTCGAGTACACCACTGGCGAATCACGATAGACGAGTAGTTTGAAGCTATCGCGGGCATGCGTTAGGTACACAGTTCGAATTTGGTTACGGGTTATTTTTTGGAATCTCTTCTGATTAGCAGATTTTTAACATGAATAAATGAACTAGTATTAAACCAGTATGAAGCTGTTGCAAAATTGGCAATTGACGTTTCATGGGCCATACCTGTGTTAAAAATACCAGCAAATGACTGAAGAGGGAACTAGTGTAAAAATGCCTAAAGTTTAGAGAATTCTACTCTGTTTCGTTAAGTTCTGAGATCTTGGTTACGACACGACAGTTACAGTATGATAGGCAATAATAGGCAAATTGATATAATCGACAACAATCCATAAGAATATATCCATGCAAGAATATATTTTTTACTTAAAACATTACATTTTTTAAAGAAATTATTTTGGTATGAAAATTTTCAAAAATTAATTAATTAATATTTAATTCATTTATATTTAAAAGTTAAAATTTGTTTTAGGTTTTTTATTCAATATTTAATTTACAGATGCTTGCATTTTATTCTAATAATCATTTTTTTTTCATCTTTTATATTCGCCCTAGCGACCATTTATAGACTTGTCGTCTAATTTGAAGAAATTTCTTATTTTATTAGTATCAAATTACGATCATATTCTGATATTCTGTAGATCAAGTGATAAGAGAGTAAGTATGAGAAAACTGAAAAATAGTTAATTTTCCCAATATAAAACAATAAAGCTAAATACAAACTTATTAATCAACATTGTTCCCATTTTCATGTAATATTTTACGAAACTTCAGCAACATGTGAACGCCTGAGATGTAATACTAAGTTTAGCAAGAAAAAAAATTACAAGGCCAACCGCTTAAGGCATGCAGTCTAAGTTGTTACTAATCTAAAGTCTTGCAACTAATAAACCTATTGAGAAAAGCTCGATTATAAAGCGTGCATTAATTTGAAAAACCTGTTCTAGTGGTTTAGTGAACATATGGTAATATGTAAGTGAGTGAGTCTGTCATGTAATTATGTTTATACGTTTACGGGTATTGGAATTGTATCTGCTTAAAAATAAATGCAAATCTTTGAATTAAAATATTATAAATATTTTTATTTTATTTATTACCGTAGAAAGCACGTTTTACCTTTATTTATCTATGAGGACTTTGGTGCTGTTTACCGTACGTTACACTTCAGAAATGAAAAAATCAATACATCAAAAACAGTCGGCACGTTGTTCACATGTGCCGTGTTCTTATGTTTTGGTAACTACAACCACATATATGCACACATACATATGAAATACATATCAATTTAAATAACGCACGGTCATATAGTGCGGAGGTAATGACAGCCATTCAATCAACATCCTGGGTTGGCGTGCTCGACAACAGTTTCAAATGTGGAGGAATACCAATGACTTGCATAAAATGGAATGATAACCAACCCCCTGAAAATATCGCGCCGCGCCCGACACGAATCCAGAAATGGAAAAAAATAATAAAAAGAAATGCAGCTGGTATGGAATTTAAAAAAAGGAGAGGAAAACCAATTTTCTAATCATATCCTTGATGTGTATCTGTGGTGTGCTTTAAACAAAACCAATTTCCGCGCCCTCAATGGCCAAGGGTCATATGGATATATGCACAAAATTACAAAAGTCAATACGAGTATGCCCATATTAGCCCATAGTCAACCCTCAGACAGAACAATGGCCAGGAGGTTAGGTGTTTAGTAATGACGCCATAAACCCACCGCATCAAATACAAACAATTTGTATGTATGTATATAACAGCCATCCAGCCAACCGCAAAACAAATACAAATACAAATAAAGTAATCGCAGCATAAGTTTATCTTTATGAGACCATATTGCATGTATGTTTGTATTTTATATATGTATGTATGTATGTACATTTGTAGGCGGTACGAGTATGTGTGTATGTGCAATTAAATGCAAGGAACGCTACATAATGCAACGCAACGCAACCGACTAATTAAACTTAATTCAACTCAACTCAACTGGAAGAAGAAGAAGAACAACAATAACAACAAATAACAAACAAATAAAAAACAAAAAAAAAACTAAAGGATATATGTATAAGTAGTAGGATATAAAGCGCAACGGTATAACGCAACGAAATGCAACTCTTTTGAAGGATATCTTACCCTAACAGGTATAAGGCGCCTCAGCGTTGTCGCCTGAAAGAAAAGAGGCGATAAAACAACATTTATTTGTCGTACACAAGCACACCGAACCGAGGATATTACACATATACGCTTGTATGTACATACATATGTAACTTTGTATGTATGCATATCCCTATTTGTGGTTAATGGGTTTTTGAGATATTTTAGCTTGATGCGTATACATATGGTTGGCTGGAGCTAGACTAACGGTTATACATATGTACATATACTGATATTAAAGTTTATATGTTACGTGTGTATGTAATTGGTTTCTTGTACAAGTTTATGGAGATCTGTATGTATGTACTTATGTATGTATGTATCTGTATGTATGGATAAGGTAAGTTTTACTTTATTTCTTTAAACTATCTGTAAGAATTAAAGAGTTTTGTAGAGGTACAGGTATTGTTATGTGTATGTAGGTACTCTTCTACATTTATCAGTGATTATATAAATACTTCGCATACCTTGAAAGAAAAATTCAAACGTAAAAATATTTTTTAATTTAAAATTAATTTAGAAATAAAGAAACTGCAGCAATATTTTATTATAAGAAATTTGTTCCTTCTGTAATTAGAATATGTATCTTTGTCACATTAGTATCTACTCAGTTGGTCATCGGCTTAAGAGATTTAGAAAATCTTAAATGAAGAAATTAAAAACCAAATTTAATATATTTAAATAAATAAAAAGTTCGAATAAGTCAAAGCGCTATATACTCGCTATACCGATTTTCGATTGAGATTCTACTCCATACAGTGGTGGGCGGATTTATGATTTTCCAACTAGTGGCAGGATCTACAGTTTTTTCTAAGCCGTCCCCTTACCTTTTATTTTTATACATTTAATTTAATTTAATTTAATTTAATTTAATTTAATTTAATTTTATTTAATTTTATTTTATTTTATTTTATTTTATTTTATTTTATTTTATTTTATTTTATTTTATTTCATTTTATTTTATTTTGTTTGACTAAATATAATTTTTTTAATTCACTTTTTTATTTAATATTTGTTTTTTGTTTTAATTTCTTACTTTTTCAGTTGCTTTAATTAATTTTCATTTTATGTAAAAGCATTTTTTTTGTTTCAAATATAACAACAAAATTTCACAAAGCGTGTGCGCCAACGTGTGATCTACACGAAGAGCAGAGAAACTAAAGAAACTCAGGAAATTAAAAAAAAAAATTCTACAAAACGCATTAACGCACTTGCTTACTGTAAGTATATTAAGAATTGCTTGAATGATTCCATAAATATGAATGAATACCATATTAAACATTAAAAAAAACGTTATTACTCAATGTTTCCGAAAATTTGCTTAAGTGCGCGTTCTCGAGTCTCGACTTTGCTAAGAGTTTCTTTGAATACCACCGCGAATACTTTCGAAGTACGAGTATATTTCGTCACTGATTTCATTAAGGTGAGTGACTCATGCTCTTATCATACTTTCCATACGGTTTACCAGTCTTGTGGTCTCATTTTAATACTTCAATTGAAACTCAAAGCCGTTTTATATAAATACATTTCGATCTCTGGTAGGGTTATTTCATCTTAATTTTATTGACGTATTTCTTTACAATTTTCGGAAATTATTGTACTATAATATTATATAATATATAATTTTTATATGACGAAGCGATTTTCTTCAAACCCGTTTTATTCAAACGAAAACTTAACCCAACGAACTATGAATAATTCATTAAAACCTCTTCTCACATTACAAATTTAGATGCATCACATGACTTTTGAAATGAAAAAAATTAACAGTTAATTGTATCAAAAACAATAGTGGTGCAACTAATTTAATTTCATGAATTTTATTCGTTGATCCACTCAGCCTATGCACTTGGGGATATCACTATCGAAACGAAAAAAAAAACCGCTAGAAACGCTTATTAATGATGATAAAAATTCCTCATGACTGAACTCCCAATCAATTAAAAATGGTTTCGTATCATACAATTTCGGATGGGAAATTTTTATCAAATTAAATGTGTTGAGAAATTAAAAGTACAAATTGGATAAAATGAGAAAGCAGCAGCAAAAGCAAGTGGCATGCACTTAAGAAATATTAGAAATGCAGAAAGAAGCTTTTTTCCGTGATGAAAGTTATTTTCAATTAACACTTCCCCAAAAAGACATTTGTGTTTGCATATCACAAGCTCAAATGTATTAAAAAGAAATGAAATTTTGTGAAACGGGAGCGGACATGATTATACAAACAATTGTACAGTTATGTGTATGCCCGAAAGTATGCATTCTTATAAATATTTGTATGTGTGTCGTGAATGGGCAAAAGTCATTCGTGAAGTTCAATTTTTCCCCAAGTCATGCACATACTTTCTCATGTATATATGTATATAGGTATGAAGGTATGTATGTCTGTATGTGACTTTTGGCTTTTGATAATAGTCGTCTAAATGTAATAAACACCCCCTCATTGTGATAGCAACACAATTGAATCGATGTTTGCATGTACATGCATACCTATATATATAATGCATACACACATATATGTGTGGGCATGTGGATACATTAAGGTCATCGTCACGTCGTCGTTGAACAGTTTAAATCTTAATTAAATTTAATTGAAGTACTCATAGACGCTAGAGCTCTTTGTCGCTCCTGATTCCACATGCATATACCCAAATAAACATACATATATATATTATATATAAGCGCAAGAGTGCATATGATTCAAGGCGCACACATCCATTTAATCATAGCGATAGATCCTGCATTCATCATTCAGCACGTTCCATAAATATATCGAGAGTTGGAGGCCAAAAGCAATTGCCCGGTAAACAAAGGCAGCAAAGCATAGCGTGGCAGCGTCAACGCCAGCCGCAGCAGTCATAAATGGGTTCTAAGTGCCATTAATGTCAATCGCGGCAAAACGTCCCACATGCGCCAGTACTTCTATGTACACATACATATACATATGTACATATAATACATATATACATATGTATGTACATAAGTAAACCAAAACAGGCGGACGCCCGCCCACACGGGTGCAGAGAGTCATCCGATTACAAGCGCCAATTATGTTATATTTTTTTCTGCACGTATGTATGTATGTATGCATGCATGCTTACAGACATTCATATGTAAGTATTTACATAACTTTTTTTCAGCAATTTTTGTATAAATGCATAATTTGTTGCATGAAGAGCCTGGTGGTACACATACATCTGTACATACATACATTCACAGACGATGGCTGAGAATGCAATATGCCAATGATGACAAGTGGCCGACGCTGGCGGTTGACGTTGGTGATGGTAAATGAAAGTTTCTTTCAACGGCGTTTTCAAGCGTAGAACACAAGTGAGAACCGACCGGGTTGGGATGGGCTGGTCTGGGCTTGAAATCGCTTAACGTGAGTTGGACGATAGTAACACACCCATTCAGCTTACATGATTATTACAAACATTTAATATATTTGAAAATGTATGCATGAATTTATGTAGAAATTCGCGTGCGTTTATAAGCACTTATTCATTTAGAGACAGTTGTATACATATGTACATATGCTTTTATTTATGCGCATTTACATACATATATTTGTATGTTGATATATGTATGCTTATAACAGAAAACACTTAAGAAATCATGTGCATATAAATTTATATTAGCTTGAAAGACTTATGTGAGCACATACTTACATACTTATATACATGTATTTATTTATGTGTATACTGACAGGAAGACGGGTCAGTGAATTAAATTCATAGGTCAATTACAATGCAGAAATGACGACATTAAATTAAGCAATTTGTTAAAAATAAAGCTTGCAGCTTGAAGAAAGTACGTGAAAGTAATGTCTTACGTACATATTCAATTATTGAAAACATATAATACATATAAACATACACGTACTTAGATTTGTTTGCACTAACATATATCAATTTATAAAGCTTTCCTTTGTTTTTCAACAGTTCTAAACGGATTTCCTCGAATTTTCACCAAAGATGTCTTATGCGATAAAGCAGTAGATACAAAAACAAACAAAACAATTAATAAAATTATACAATAAGCTCAAACCTACCAACGAACGGGAGGCATTTTAAGCCTTAAGATCTTAGTAACAACTTTCTTCAAGCTTCAGTTCTCTACTGGATAAGATAATCAATTTCATTCAGAAGAAATTATGGTGGAAGCTTATTGTGAGGGGAAAATGTAGGAAGTGCAGGCTTGATTGAGATGTTGGAGCATCTCATCTATTTCGTTTCGGCTATATGTAGAACTCGTCTTAGACAACTAGGAGCCTTGCAGTTTAAAACTGTAAATCAAGACCCTTTTAAACATCCCAAGAAACTTTGACATCCTCTGTGTCTACTGCCTTATTTTTAGTTCCGGAGCAACCATCTGGCACTACAAAGAACCAAGAAGTCTAAGTATGCCTTATCTAGCCTACAGTGAGTTTCGGAGACTAGAAATGAAAATGTTTCGCAATCGCAAATTGGTTGGAAATTAATATCTCAGCAATTATATAAATATATACGATATGTACGAAATATTTACACGCTTACTGCAAAATATCCAGTAAAAAAGATAAAATGATGATTTATATGATTCATAACTTTTAGGGGTTTTTTACGAAAATCTCGTGAACATCTTTTGGCAATTGCCACATTTTCTTTGACAAACTTCCACCATTTTTTTATTTTTATTTTTTTTTTTTTTTTTTTTTTGAAAAAGAAAACTTTTTCTGTTTACATAACAATATATTTAATAATAAGAGATTTGCATAGATCATCCGGTAAGAAATTCCATGGATTCATTCGGGTGATAAAGAGGCTAATTTAAATAGTTTATGTATACAGATAAAATATTTGATGCAGTTTACTGACTTCTCTAAAGATATACATATGTAGGTACGCTTGAAAAAAAATGTCCCCATTGCAACGTCATTTTCGATGATCCTTCGGAAAAAGGTACATTTGCGTTGACAGTAGAAGTTACGGCAGGATCAGTCGAAAGGAAAAACAAAAACAAAAGTTTTG